AATCCTTTCTTGATTTAATTGGTGCAAAACCGGAGTATAAATAGGATACAAAAGGACCTAGTTCCCGTGGCTTAGTGAATCCGGGAAACTAACCCTAATAGGATAGAGAAGCTATCCTCAAGATATTCCTAGAATCTTTCCTAAGAAATAGGAACTGCCCCCTAAACTAGGAGAGATATGCGATATGGAGAGATATGCGATATCTCCTAATTTAAACAATATCTCCTAATTAATTAATTAATTAATGTACATAATTCAATACTCCCCCTCAAGTTGGGTCATAGATGTCTTTTAAACCCAACTTGCTAATACAAGAATCAAACCCTGGTCTAAACAATCCCTTGGTTAAAATGTCAGCTATCTGTTGAGATGTTGGTAGGAAGGGTAAACACACTGTTCCGGATTCCAGCTTCTCTTTGATGAAATGCCGATCTATCTCCACATGTTTGGTGCGATCGTGTTGAACCGGGTTATTAGCAATGCTAATGGCAGCCTTGTTGTCACAGTAAAGCTTCATTGGAGCTTCTATTGTTAGTTGAAGGTCTCCTATAGCCCGCTGCAGCCAAATTAATTCACATAGCCCATTAGCCATTGCTCGAAATTCTGCCTCTGCACTGCTACGGGCAACAACACTTTGCTTTTTGCTTCTCCATGTAACTAGGTTTCCCCACACAAAGCAACAGTATCCAGTTGTAGACCTCCTATCAGTCACGGATCCAGCCCAATCAGCGTCTGTATAGGCTTCAATTGTTCGGTTGTCATTCTTCCTGAACATTAATCCTTTTCCCGGAGAACCCTTGAGATATCTAAGGATTCGATAGGCAGCTTCCATATGAGCTTTCTGAGGAGAATGCATAAACTGGCTTATCATGCTCACGGCAAAGGCTATGTCTGGTCTAGTGTGTGATAAGTAAATCAGCCTTCCAACCAACTTCTGATATCTCGTAGTATCAACCCTGTCCTCCTCACTCATTCCGAGTTTTACATTGGGATCAATAGGAGTATCAATTGGTTTGCACCCACTCATTCCAGTATCTTCGAGAAGATCGAGTACATACTTCCTTTGGCTGACCATTATTCCTTCTTTAGATCTTGCTATCTCCATACCTAAGAAATATTTTAGGTTCCCGAGGTCTTTGATCTCAAATTCATCGGCCAAGCACCTTTTCAATCGGGCCGTTTCTAGAATATCATCTCCTGTCAAGATAATGTCATCCACATAGACAATAAGGATGGCAATTCTTCCTTCCTTTGATCTTCTAAAGAATAGTGTGTGATCTGCCTGGGCTTGAGAATAACCTTGTTTTTTTACCGAGCTTGTGAATTTCTCAAACCATGCTCGTGGTGATTGTTTTAGCCCATAGAGAGATTTCCTCAGTTTGCACACCTTTGAACCAAACTTATCTTCAAAACCGGGTGGAGGATCCATAAAAACCTCTTCTTCTAAATCTCCATTTAAGAAGACATTCTTGACATCTAACTGTTGTAACTGTCAGTCCAAGTTTACCGCAATTGAGAGAAAAACCCATACAGTATTTAGTTTAGCTACTGGTGCAAAAGTCTCAGAGTAATCTATGCCATAGGTTTGAGTGAAACCTTTGGCTACTAGACGTGCTTTATACCTTTCTAGTGATCCATCAGATTTGAACTTGACCGTGAATACCCATTTGCACCCAACAGTTTTCTTCTCCTTTGGCAAATTTATAACCTCCCATGTCT